GCAGGCAGGGAAGCAAAGAAACGATGCAGAATGAGAGTAAATAACCTATCTCTCTTGAATATCTGGGAATAGTTTGGCAAAACCAACTAAAATACTGAGAAATTTTTTCCCTGTCAGAAATAGTGGAAAACAGATACAATTTCTGTCTATCTAGCTTATAAACAGTAGCTAGAATATGTTTTCCAGTATCTTAAAACAAAAGACTTGGCATATGTTTCTTTCCTGTACTACATGTTTCCACAAAGAATCCTCTTTTTCTCTCAAAAATGCAATTTTTTTTTGGCTGTTTCCTAAGCTAAGTGTTAGAAAAATAGTCAAAGATTTTTGTTTGGCTGATTGTTGTTTGTTTTGTTTTAAGACTGAATTCTATGCCTTTCAGAGACCCAAATGCTGTTGGGAGCTGCACTGCTGGGCCCCCAGTTTCAGTAGGGTTGCTTCATTTTGCCTGAGAACAATTTGATCAGCTTGAGCCGTGTGCTCTCATTTTCTTCCTTGTGATGGAGGAACAGAACCATAACATTAGTCAGCAGTTTCTGAATTTTGACCCACAATAGCAAAGATACCAAAAGACAGGAGAAATAGATGGAGGCAATTACAAACAGGCAGTTGATTGATGGTTGACATTGTTAGAGCTTCAGCTGTGTGTCAGGTTGCGGTGGTACCCAATCCCCATCCCTGCCGGTGGCTGTTGCCATGGGCAACAGTGCACTGAAGCCAATAAAAAGGAGAGGAAATGAGGGGAGACTCAACCTTGGGGGAGGCTGTAGGGTATGTGCTATAAATTATGTTATACTTAGCAATATGCAATAGCAAAACTCAGCAAAGCTGTGTGTGGCTACCAGCAGTACTGTTGGTTCCTAGTATCTATAAGTTTGTATGGCTTGCTCTCCTGCATCTGTCTTTATTCAGAGAAGGAAGAAGTGGTAAAAGAATATCAGATACATTTCCATTTGGAAATGGGAATTCGTTCATTGCCGTGCAGTCTGCATTTCTGCTCCTTCCCTTGCTTCTTTCTGCTGGAGAAAGTGATGTGGTTCACTTGAGCACTAACAGATTGGCTAGCAGTGCTACTGAATTTCCATCTATTGTCCTACACACCATAAGGAGCTCAGGATGTTTTTGTTTTGTTGTATTTCTTTTAAAGAAGTGATCAGCAGATTTGTTGGTTTTGTTTGATTGTCAGACTGTGTGGTCAGCTTCTCTGAAAGGAGGAAAGCTCTTTTAGCATCTGGTCAGCTGGGCCAGGCTCTGATTTCCTTTAAGCTGCTGCCAGTTTAAGGTAATTCCACTGGAGTAAATGGACTTCGGCACAAGTGTAAAACTAAGCTGAATTCAGCTTCAATTTCTGCTGCCAGATAACCCTGTATTTAGAATCTCATTTTTCATGGAGTACAAAGGCTTTTTTTCTCCCATATGAATGGGCACTCGTAAGCACTGCAACATGAACCTCTCTTGTGTCTGGTCATGCAGTAGAGAAAGCACCCCCAAAGCATAGATCACAGATTTCCTACACTACTAAGCTTTGCAGTAATGGAAAGAGACCAACTTTCAGGTAATACTAGGGTCATCATACAGAACTAGGCATGTTTGGTTTTGTGACCTATCATGTTTGATTAGATTTTTATCAACACCTTTATCACAGACATCTACGTGTGAGCCTTGACTAGTGCTGTGCTAGGTATAATAATAGCATCTGAAATTGCACTGAAAGAACTGCAAGAGAGCAAGAGGTAGTCAGTCCAGTGTGCTGATATTCTCCCTCTCCACCATTTCAAAATAATAATTTCAACTGGAAATTACACTAGGAAGGCTTATCCATGGTCCACTTTTCAATGTAATATAAACCTGAAGCACAAGGCAACAGATTTCCTTTTTTTATTTGTATTCTACTTTCATAAAAGCATATTAATCTTTCCCTCAGAGGACACTGTAATTTTTTTTTAAAGTATGGGTTAAAAGAGCATTTTTTTAAAAGAAAAAAAAATACTCTAAAATTACCATGCAGTATTTTGCCTTTATGCAAACTTCCCCTTGCTGAGGAATTTGCTGCACTGTTAGTACGAATTTCTCAGGATAGAAGGGACAGCTTGGTGTTTTTAAAGATAATAAAGTTTGTTTTTAAATGTAGCAAAGGTAGGCAATTCTAAAGGCCTTGATCAATCACTAAGAAGCTTTGTTGTAAAAAAATACTTCTTTAGAATACAAAGCAGGCTTTTCAGAACATTCAGGCATAAAAGAGGAGGGAGTGAGAGAGGAACGTCACAAAAGCAGGCATAATTGATTCATAACATGTACTGAAGAGATGCAAAACAACAATGTAATTACATACTATTCTGTTTTCTGCAACTCCTTGCATTTGAATTGACCAGCTTGCGTCCTGGTTCTGCTCTGTATTATTCATTTGATTAAGCTGTGAGTTCTTATATTTCAGTCTGTTGTCAGCTTTACAGATTTTTACAGCAGCAGTTGAAGTGTAGTGGAGCTGAATTAAGACTTCTTATGTTAAGTCTTCTGTGTCACTCCAGATTCCAGCACAATCTTATTGCAGACCTTCCCTTCAGTCCCACTAAGCCTCCCAGGAAAAGCAAACTACACTGCCATAAAGATAATATCCAGTGAATTAAGCATGTCCGTGAAAGCACTTCTTAAAAAAATGGTGGGTCTAAGCTTATGGAAACCTTTCAGACAGCTCTTACTGTAAAGCAACACTGATATTTTCAGGCTTAATTTATGTCTTTGAGAGACATGGTGAAGCTAGAGGGAAAGGAGGACGATGATGAAGCCTGAGAAGGAAGTCTGTTTTGGTGCAGCTCCTCCCATTTACCTCTATTTACTGCCACGGAGTCCAGCATAGGCTTGAGTTTCACATTCAGCTTCACTAGACACTGGAAGAAGATTAAAAAGAGGGTGAGAGCAAAAATAATGACACTGTATCCACTCCTTTGATGGATAGTCCACAGACTAATGGGGAATAAAGAGTTTAATCTGCACCACACCTCTACCCTCCTT